AAAGCAAGTTGCAGAGCATTTTCTAAATATCCGAAGCGGAGCTGGTATTTCTAGTGCAAAGGCTGTCTATCGAGGGGGTAAGTATGTTTCTTGTGTCTTACCTGAATTACTGATTTTCTGTTCATTATAAATGTAGTATTACTCAAAGATGCAGCTGAAAACTATATAGTTGTACTAAATGCTGTACATAGGAAGTGACAGTTCAGAGGAATCTATCTAAATAAGCAGAGGATTATTCCCCACGAAGCAAAGTTGTCAGATAAAGTTGAACCTGTATCTTCAACAAAGCTTTACCTGCAAGATAATTTATTCCATAAAGTGAAAAACAAGCTGGTCTATGGTTTCTGTTGGCATTAGGAGTAGATTAAGGACTGTCTAGAAGTGGTGGTAGGCTTTCTTTTTAGGAAAGGTCTGTTAGAATGTCGTAAGTCTTTCATAAAAGACAACGCAATGTTTAGCTCTTTCAGAGCAGTATCTTGTACTAACTCCAGTAGCTATTCTTTAGTTGGAGTATCAGATTTCTCTGTAAACAAATGGGGGGAAAAAAAGTCTCCAACTTTTAATATGTGACTAGAAAAACTTCAGTTTCTACAAAATAGGATAAATACTATGACCACAAGGAATGCTACTTTTCTGGATATTTGTTATCTGGAGACTCACTGAGTTCTATACTATGTATGGTTTAGAGTCAGGTTCAAATAAGGCATAGTAGGGTACTTGGTTTTGTGCTTGCAAGAAAATTTTTGAATGTGAATGACTTTAAAATTACCTACAGCCTGCTACCAGCTTCTTTCTGTCTTCCTGAGTGGACATGCAATAACTTCACACCCTGCTTCTTTCTTATGAAACTAACTCCTGGCTGGAAATGTTTCCTTTCCATACCTCTGAAAATACAATAGTTTCTAACTAAACACTGCATTACCTTTTATTCTGTTGTTGTGTTTTTAGGAGAAATCAGAGAACAGAATGGTGATAGCCTTGTCCATGCTGCTGTTGTAACAGAAGGAGCTGCTGTTGGGAGTGCAGAAGCAAATGCATTCAGTGTTCTTCAGCATGTGTTAGGTGCTGGACCCCTTATCAAGAGGGGAAGCAATGTTTCCAGCAAATTGTCCCAGGGTATTGCTAAAGCAACTACCCAGCTATTTGATGTAAGTTCAAAGGATTACTGTGATATTTTAAGCAAAAGGCATATTATCCTTTGAGAGGTTACTGTCTCCAGCTAGAATCTTAATCAGTTCATTCTTGCACAAGTTAGAAAATTTCAGAGGAGGCCTTCCAATCTGATCTTTCCTCTGCACAGATGGAGTTTAGCTTCCTGAATTACAGTATTTTAGATGCTAATAGTAAGTATTTTCCTATGCTTTATGCTGAGTTGTTCTGATACTTGAAACAGTTGATGATAATATTTGTTTTGCAGGCTTCTGCATTTAATGTTAATTACTCTGACTCTGGGCTCTTTGGGATTTATACCATATCCCAGGCTCCAAATGCTGGGGAGGTGAGTTGTTGATTAGAATTTAACTATTTAAGTATTAACAACATAACCCTCAAACTTGTGTTTTCATTTGAGATAGTGACTGATTCATCTAAAAAAAGTTAATACGTCTGGTTTCTTGTATAAGAATGTTACATGTTCGGTTATGACTTAGCTCTGTAAGCTGGAAATAATGAGACTTGCTTTCTGGGAAGTACAAATACCTAATATGAACTAGAGCTAGTGAAATACTTTGAATTGCTGATTTACATGTGTAAGCTTAAATACATCATGAGGAACATGCTGGCTCTTGAAGCTGTTGGAACTGAATACTCTCGTCAAAAATGGTGAGACTGTACAAACAAATTAATGTGGTGTTGCAATTAAAATCCACACTGGTTTTTGTGTCTCACTTGGGCACTTATTACAGTGGTTTTAGTTTTGTTATAAAGCTGTTCAGAACTGAGTTCAGGCAGACAATCCTAGCATTGTCCACTGCGCTCTCCTGAAGTTTGTAAGATGTCATATAATAGAAATAACATGTTGAAATTTAATGTGGGAAGAAGTCTTAAATGATTTCATTTTTCCCAGGTCATTAAAGCTGCTTTGAACCAGGTAAAGGCAGTTGCTCAGGGCAGCATCACTGATGATGATGTCACAAAGGCAAAGTAAGTGCATAAATAACTGTCTTGTGTGTTGTAAAGAGAAGTTTCTTAACATGCAGCTACTTGTCAAACACATAGACTATTCTGGACAGCAAAGCTTATTGTTGTCCTGTAATTATTTCTGTGGGGAACTGCTCACTTTCCTGCATTAAAACTGAAGCACTGTCAATACTCCTTTCAAAGCTATACTGATTCTCTGCTAGTGACATTTCCTAATAAAAACTTGTTAACAAGTGTTAATGTTTTCTGAAAACTGTTTCAGTGTGAGAAATTAGCAAGTATCAGCAGATGCTGTCGTTTTAATCACACTCTGTAGCAACAAAATGTAAATAGGAATCCTAAATGATATTATTTAGGTAATTCCCTTTACAGTCACACTGCAGCAATTCCCAAAACAGTTAAGCAATCTTTTGCATCTTCAAAGAAAGTAGTAATGAGGGTCTGCAAGTGTGAGGCAGTGAATTAGTGGTGTTACATCCAAGTGCTTAAAATACGTGCCCCTAGGAATATTGAAGATGGGGGAAAATTAGTATTAGATACGCAGTAATACCAACAAAGTTTTAGAGTTTCTGATTTACAGTGTTGTCCACCTTAGTTGCTGCTTGATCTCAAAAATAGTGTTACACTGCACTGAGCCGCTTAAAACTTAGTTGTGCAATACGACAATTTAGTTCAGATTCACTCAAATACCAAAATTTTTATTGGAGTTTCCCTTCTGGAATGGCTTCACATATTTTTTACATTGCTCTTTTTCCTTTAGTGATCAAAAAAGCCAACCTAAAAACCAAATTCAAGGTCAGTGATATTTGCAGTGTCTTGCAACTCAGTCAAAAATACCAAGCTGCTTAATCATATTCTATTGGAATAAACTTTTCTGCTATTCTGCCTTTTAAAATAGAAAAGAAAAATCTTATAAAACCAAGATTTTCATAGGTAGCAGTGAGACCGTGTAAAACAGAAAAAAACAGTATAAACTTGCTGTCTTTTAACAAAACATGAAACTATTGCACAAGGAGCCTAACTACATTCATTGCTTCTTTGTCACAACAAAATTGCTCTGCATACATCTGTCTTTTGTGAGAAAGTGGAATCAATTTTAAACCTAGTTTGTCAAAATTCCTGGGGTACCTACATTAGTTACTTCAAACAGAAACAAATTCTGAGCTAGAGATCTAACTGTGTGGGGTGGCTGATCATTACAAGGCAGAGGGTGTTCAAGTACTCTGTCTTTTTCATGGTTAACTATTTGCGGTGTCTCTTTCCTAACTACAGAACCCTTCCACACTTGAAGGAAGGATAATAATTCCCACAGCCATTTAGTTAACTAATCCTGGAGTCTTATTTTTTTTCAAATGCATGTTGTAAAGACAGGTTCTTTAGTTCTGAACGTCCTCTAATACCAAAAGGAAAACCTTTCAAAATTGAGAGGAATCTTGAAAACTTAAGAAGCACCAGACAGTAATTGCACTTACAGGGGTGGTGGGGAAGGTAATAACAGGACTTACATGCTCACTTAATGCTTTGTTTGATGGCAGAAATCGGCTGAAAGCCACCTATTTGATGTCAGTGGAGACTGCAGAAGGGTTACTGAATGAAATTGGCTCCGAGTCATTGGTTTCTGGCACACACTCATCGCCATCTGTTGTTGCTCAAAAAATCGACTCTGTAGCTACTGCAGATGTTGTGAATGTAAGTATGTGTCAGCATCTCCAGGTGTTCCTTAATCACTGGGGGGGGCGAGGGGGGGGTTTATACAAAACTGGTGCTCATTTGTGTGTTTATAAACACACACATATACTATCTTTTAAAAAAAAAAAAAAAGATAACTCAAAAATCCCAGCTGGTTATCTTTTGATGTCTTTACTTTTTATTAACAGAAGACCCTTTAATCCAATACCCTCCAAACTAGCATAGCTGGGAGTATGTGAAATTCTCATTTTCACTTAAATTTACCAAAACTGCCAACAAGTATTCATGGAAAGCTTTGGTACTAGTTCCAGTGCAGGTACTTCTGTGTCAAGGCTTTTAGGACTCCCAAGTCTAGAATACTTGGTGTGCTTAATAAAACAACTAGGCTTTCAGTGATAAATTGACATCGTTGCCATTGCCATTCCAAATTATCTTGTTGCTTATACTTGAAGAAAACTTCGTGCGGAAATCCATCAGAAATTCTAAGATAGAAAACTTGTTTTTTCACAGACATCACTAATTTGTGTTGCAGTAGCAACAGCTTTAGTATTAAGGAGAGATCCACTGTATCTTGTGTTATAGTAATTATTCTAGGAATAAACATTTTTCAGAGTTTTATGCCTTTTATATCCAGCTGTCATTCTACCATTCTTGTTTAGATTATACAGTAACAAAGAGCTGGATTAGAAGCAACTAAGACAGCAAAAGGAAAGTTGTTTATTTGATGATGTACTGTAGTAGCATTGGGATTTGTTGTTTAGTAACTTGAAGCTGAGGCTGTGAGCAGCAAGATAAACTGTTGCAGCAAGTTTTTCTTTATGTGTATCTTTCTGATTTATTTGCAGGCTGCAAAGAAGTTCGTCAATGGGAAGAAATCAATGGCAGCTAGTGGGGATTTGGGAAATACTCCTTTTCTTGATGAGCTGTAAAAACAAAACTGGGATGCAGATTCAAGATGGACCTCAGCTCTAAGTCACCTGTGTTCTAATTAAATCACTACTAACTTGTTATTTATGAATTCAGTTCTTTCAGAAAATTAATCTGGAGTAATTGTGGGCTTGCACTCCTCAAATAAAGTGCTGAGTTCATACATTTTGTGTAGAGTGTTTTTCTACTGAAAATGATATCTAAGATGCTGTTAACTCTGGCTCTGTACAGCGAGAAAATAAAGTGACTTTTAGTCTATGTAAAAAATAGTATATCAAAAATGATCACTGTGATGCAGACAAATACTGTAGTTGCCACTGCTTCTATGTTCAGGAAAAGTTCTTGATAAACTGTCTCCACCATCCTTATCCAGAAAATGAAGAAATTTACCTTCAAACAAAGATGAGTATGTTAGACCTTCTTAGAGCTCGCAACTGCTGCTTGTCTGGTATTAGCAGAGGTAGTGTTTGTGAGTGTCTTCTCCACAAGTAGCATTGATAGACATCTCTGATGGGAGGGCATTGCTAAAACAGCTTTATATAGCTAATATATAATTTCAAATATCTTACAATGTTTATATTTTTTTTGAAGTCTAGGTATGTATTAAAAGAAAACTGATACAACTTCAGAAAGATTTTGAAGAATTCAAGTTTTAAGCTACTCTGAAACAAAGGCAAGTTCTTCTGCATAGGATGTATCTGATACAGAAGAGCAGGAGGCAGAGGAACTAGTGACATTGTTTTCTATAGCCCAGTGTGAAGGAGGTCTAACACCACTTGCTTCAAATTTAGGATTGCTCAATGCATCGACATCATCATGAGGTACAGCATCACCAAGATTGTGTCTACTCAGAGTGTCTGGCCTGTATCAGAGATCTGCCAAATTTTGGATATTGATGGTAACTTCTGAGTGAATTCCCAAGAGTATGACTGGGAATATTCATACTGAAAAGTTTCCCAGTCTCCATCATCCAGTGTCATCTTTGTCCGCAGGATCTTCATTTGTGCTGAAAATACACAGCATGGTATTACTTTAACATGCAATAATTCCCATAGCCATTAGTTAACTAGTCCTGGAGTGTAATTTTTTTTTCCAAATGCTCGTTCTAAAGACAGGTTCATTAGTTCTGAAGCTCCTCTAATATCAAACTAATACTACTGTCTGTAGTCCTTTGCACATTATTTCCTTTGGACTCTAAAGTAATAGCTAAGTTGTAATTCGGTCACCACAAAAGCAAGCTATTCTTTTTCTGCTCCTTCAGAACAGCAAATAATTTGATTTGTTTAAACATAAGCTTAGAGGTTTAATCTCTTGGAAAGCCCTTTGCTGCCAGAGCTTCCTTTCTGCTGTTCTAGCCTAATTATCTCCTTTTAACACTTCTGTTCCTTCCCTTGCCTCTGAGGTTTCTTTTCTATTAAAACTTTGTGCCTCAGGAAAACTTGCATCTGCCGTGTATCCCACCTAGATTAATTATACTTACTATATGAGCCACCTTTAGGACTGAGAACAGTACCTTTATATATGCAGTAGCTCTCACAAGAATTTATTTTTCCTTTAATTTAAAAAGTCATAGTCATTAACCACTGTCAGTAGTTGGGCTGATTAAGAAACAGATAAGCTTTTTACATGGTTGTAGCAAGATGTCCAATCCTTGTAACTGTAGATGTTTGGCTATTACAAACCCACATCACCTCTGACTTCAGTGGCATTATTGCCAGCCAGGCTTTCTGTGCTTCCTGTGGGGGCAGGAATGGGCACGTCTAAAATTAAAGTTTGTCCTGTCCCCTCTTCACTGTAACTAGAAAAGTAAACTTTGGTATTTGTTCATTTCAAATCACAGTTTTCTATTTCAGAAAAATAAAAGTAAATCCTTAGACTAACATCCTAAAATGGAAAAGCTATTACACTATTTATTGTTTCTTGCTGGAATAATAAGGTGTGAAATTCTAATTACATACAATACTTGAATTTCTTACTCTATTGTCATCACAGGAAGGTTTCTTTCAGGAATTAATTCAACTGCACTTTGCCAGTGTAGAGGTACTTCAATAAAATCTCTGTAAACTCTGATTTGTAGAGTAGTTCCTATAGGAACATGTGCAGGAGTTGTCTAAGCTCTCGCAGAGTCCATCCCAAAACATTAGCATGTCCAACTTTTATTATAACATCACCTGGCAAGGAAGAAAATGGAGAACAATTGGTTTAAGAGACTTTTTCAAATTTTTTTTTAATGTTAGTATTACAAAATTAAAGACTTAACCATTGTACTTAGACATTTTTATGTAAAAGCATGTGTTTAGCAGCTTCTCAGCTGGATGCAATTTTTTTTTTCTCTATTTTAATGAAAGTTTTTTTAGCTCCATTAAGACCTAACCTTTCCACAACACTACAGAATGCTGCAGTTCATGGTTACTTTGGGATTTTTCTGAGTGAACACGCTAAACTTTAGATTGCCTCTTCAGTGCTACCTTCCATTTCTGTGGGATTTTTTAGGCAAGATAAAAGTACAGTGGTGAATGCTCTGATCAGGACCACTACTTGGGACCACACAGACTCCAGCAAGGTTGAGCTGAGGTTACATAGCTGCGCTCCCAACAGTTCTGCTGGCATCTTCCTACTGCTCCCCTGTACCTTTTCACAGCTGGAATACCCTGTCTCTATGTTTCTGCTACCTAGCCTGTATGTTACCTTGCTGTTTATCCCCTCCTCCACGGTGTCTAAGTTTACCTAGGTGGATGCTGGAGAATCTGTGTAACAGCCATGTCACCTTGTGTCTGTCTGGGACCCTGGAGGTTTCCAGGGTTTGGCTCTGCTCTGTGGCAGGTGCCTGTCCCTCCATTCTGAAAACAACCAACACGTGGGCTCACTGCAAGACAATGTCAAGCGAGGCTGGAGGAGAAGTAGTAGGTGCCTATAAAAGCTGGTGCAGAATCTGACCGAGGAGTTCCAGCAGAAAGTGATTGTGATTTTTTTTGTTGTTGTTCATTTCATTTTTTTTAAGGGATAAGGCTGCAAATAATGTTCTGACTACCTGCTGCCTGTGGAAAGCACCGAGCTGCAGTTTTGCAAAAAGCAGTAGTGTGTCCAAGAACAACAGAGTACAGAAGCCGCAGCATCTCTGTATACCATGGAGTATACCAAGATGGGCTTCGAGTGGGTGGGGGAGTTGCAATTACTGTGTAAACCTATAATTTTGGAGACTGCAAAAGGCAAGCAAAATCAATCTGCAGCAGACTATAGCTCTATCAGCAGCCTGGCAGAAACAGTTGCACAGAGGAGCGGTATCAGGAAACATTATGTACTGAACAGCAACAGACAGCATAGGGGATTTAAACAAGCGGTACAGCTGCCTGATGCCATATTAGGCAGAGCAAGGCGCCTCTCTCCATCTGTTCTGTTTTCTTCTTAACCCTTTTGGGTTAAAAATGCTTATAGCAGAAATTTACAGGCTTTAAAACTGTTTACCTGAACTACTGACTACCATTTCTTTATTCGCTTTTCCAGCTAACTACTCCTTCTACTCCATCATCATCACACCCCCTCTCCATTCTAGCTGGCACAAGATACTGTTTCTAATGGGGTGCTGCTAACAAGTAGTTCTGGAACAAGTACCAGGATAGCAGATACCAGAAAAGCAACAGAAAACTTTCTACCAACAGTTTTATGTAAGTTCTCAGCCTCAAACAGAAAAAAAAATCACCCAAATTACGTTTCAAAATGCATTTGAAATATCTGCAAGACACTCTCAGCTTTTAATAGCTCCTTTTAGAATTCTCTTTTTTTCTGCCCATACTGTCCTGATTCTTTTAGAATTCTCATTCTTCTGCCCATACTGTCCTGATTACACTTGTGGCAAGTTAAAGCCATCTCTGAACTGCAGATGCAGATCATTTTGCTCCTCTGCTCCAGCATCTGAAGTCTAAACCACCCAGCTTTTCCATTCACCTATCAGTTTTCTGATTGTGGCCACTGAAGATTCATATGGAGAAAACCTCCTGTTTCTTCTTGATAACATGGAGAGTAGGGCATGCATACGTACATATGAGTTTGGTGTGTTTAACTGTAGGATTTTAAGACATTAATGTTTCCCACTACCTCTGTTAATTTCTACCTCCTCCTCGTTAAAGTCAGCAGAATGGCACCAGCTCTTTCCAGCTATAAGCAGTAATAAAATTGTTCTTCTAGGTTCCAGTTTGAAATGGTACAGATAATAATCTTAATTAACTGAAAAAATAAGTCCATAAAGAGAAAACCTAATTCACCTTAAAAACTCCTAAGCAGTGCATTTGTGCATCATATTTTTCTCAAACCCCATGCTCTGTACATTGGTATTAATGCCAAAATAAGTGTGCTGCCTGTGGTATCATTAAGAGATGGAGCTTCTAAAAATACTATATTTTCTGCAAAATTTTAGCTCTGATCTTAAATACCACGTTTTTGTAAGTTCACTCTAAACATGAATTGAACAAATTCAGCTGTTTGCTTTTGTGTGTGAGTGAAATGTGCTGAGTTAGATCCAGGTGGTCCATGAAGCATGCTCAAATTGTTCCTCTTGGCTCCAAAACCTAAGATAAGCTACAAAGGGACAATGTTTGTTACCAGTCCTCAAATCCCTTTAAACTATTCAATACTTGTTGCACTATATCAAACACATCATATGCGATAGATAATTTGACTCCTTGTTCCTGTAGCCTTTATTGAAAATGCTTTTGGAGCTTGCCTTTCTCAGATTGTTGCAAATAGAACTACTTAGTTTGTGATATTCTATATTTTTTACCTTACAGATGTAAAAAAACCCCAAACAAATCCACAAATCAGTATCATATATATGCTTTTGTATACCATAGGGGGTTTTTTAGGGAATAGATGAATCCTTTCAGTTCCTAAGATAACCATAATTAAAAAAAAAAAAAAAAAGAAAAAAAAAAAAAGCTAGTTCAAATCCAAATCCATTTCTATTTTATGCTCAGGATTTTTCCGTGATTTTTATACATGGATCAAAAGTGCAAAGCCATTCCTAAAAGGAGGTTAAGAAATCCACTCAATGTTTTTTATTTCATCAAACAAGTGCCATTCCTAGTGCATAGAATTTTAATACTCTCCAAAAGGTATAAGAATAAAGGACTGCCCAAACTATAAAGGCAATGCTGGGAAAATTGTGCTAATTTAAAGATTCGCATTTTCACTGTACAGCCTGTAAATTTCTAAATGCCTGCATTACACTCAAGACTTAGCTTCATAGATTTATTTCTACATTAGAGACAATTTAATACTTGGTAATAACATAGCATGCTATCGTCCCCAAACTGTACTTCATGAGTCCAATGTAATTGGTCTAGGGACCCAGGTGAAGCACTCAAATTTACAGAGCTTTCAATTACAAGCTTAATATAGGTGTCTGATGTTCCACCAGAAACCTTAACAACTAGTAATAGTCTGTTAGTATTGATATGGCACATTTCAGGTTTAAAGCATTTAGCAAATGAACACCTGCATGGATTGTTAGAGCATTGAGACTAGTCCATTGCTACTCTGCAACTATTCTGTATTAATAAAGAGAAGTAAAAAGCAAACAATCAAGAAAATTCATTTCAAGCCTTTGGGAAGTTTTGTGTTACTTGTAGAGTGAAATTACTTGAATAATAATGCACTGAACAAAGAATGATATTACTCGAGTTTAGTTGCCACATAAAGGTAACAAACTATCTTTAGACAAACCTGCGATGAATAGGAAATGTTTTTGTTGGAGAACAATATATAGACTTAAGTCTTGATCTGATTATGAAACAGTCACCCATATCAGCTATTTTAAGATCACAGGTATTTCATTACAGTGGAATGCTGGCACTGAGCTTTATACAGTTTGTGCTAGTTTCTTTTCTCTGTAATTTTAAATTGAGTTTCTTTTGATCTGTGTAACTGTAAATAAATCAGAGACAGGCTCAAAGCATACATGCAGAACAAGAATCTTTTCAATGCTATTAAATTTGAATATCACTGTTGGTTCTTTTTACCTGGTTTTAGCTTTCCTTCATTAGCTGCACAGCTTTTCTCAACAAGGCTTGTTATCTGGAGATATGGCCCATTCTGTATGATTATAAGACCTAATCCTCGTTCACCCATCCTAATATTTGCCTTCAATGCTGCAATCAGTGCTGGCCCTTTGAAAAGTGAGAGAAGAATTTTACTAGTTCAAAGTGTGATATCATTCTTCAATAAAAGGTTTAAGGAGACATTTGAGCAGATGCTGTACCCATAAACAGTTAAGTCCCTTGTCCTTAATTGCTTCTCTAGATAGGCACTGCCTGCTGAGTTACTGCCAAAAAGCTGTAAAGCAGTACTTACAAAAAGTTAGTGTACTCCATAAACTAGCTTTCTGCAAATAAATATACTGAAAGTAGATTTTACTTAGAAACATTTCTTAAAGTTACATGTTTTACCAAGAGAAAAAGCAATACTGTTGTTACTTAAGTATTCATTCCTCATGGCAGTATATTCAGGGAAGGTAGAGAACAGGGTACAGAGTAACAAAACAGAGGAGTTTTTCAGCTATTAAGGACTCCAAGAAAACATTGAATTCTTATTAAAAAATCGATCTTTCAAATAAATATTTATAAAGGAGATTAATTTCTAAATTTCCAGCAGATTAGCTCCACACCCTACTGCTGACATGAGGGAAGGGACAGTACTTGCCATATTTATCACCTACAAAAAAAATACTCTCAAGCATCTGCTATCCATTAAAATGCACAACACAAATAATAAAATATGACATTAGGCCAGTGTCTCCACCAAGAAATATAATAGGGTAATAAAAAACCCCTCCATCTCTCAAGCCCATTCTCCTCATCAAGCGCCAGGAAAAGTTAAGACTGTCACATGAGTGCTTTAGACTCCTAAACCAAACTGTATTCTGTTAAAAATTACTTTTTTGTCTCTGTTTTAAGATGTAATCTCTAAATGTAACTTCTAACAGTAGGACAGCAATAACTTAACTGCCTGAGACTGTCTCCAGTGGTCTGGAGTCACTTAATGAAAATTCCCACCACTTTACCCCTTTTGTTTAAAATATGGAAATCTAGTCATCTTTCCAACAGCTTCAGTAAAGCTTTGGATCAGGCTCTAAATGACAGCACAGAATGTCTATAACAGAATCAAGATTGAAAGTATAGCAATGTGAACATTTGATTTGTCAGTTTGGCTGCTGAACTGAAAAACAGAGAAGGAAGCAGGAATGGTTTGAATTTTTTTTTCCTTCCCAATAAAAAATGCAGGATTTTTTTTTGTTGACTAGAATACTACATTTCATTTGGATGAAATACTTAATTTTCATGGTCATGCAAGAAAAGCAAAGGAAGACCCACTCTGGAACACATTTTTATCTGTTGATAATTCTGAGAGGTTGGACATCTGACCTGCTACTGGTTTTCCAGCCCAGGAATTCATGCAAAGTAGAACAGGATCAGTAGAAGGGATTGAAATCTTTCCTATGGTGTTCTTGGTCACTTTTCCATGTGTGTTTCAATCTTTTTCAGCCAGAAGAGGGAACTGAATCCTAGTTTCCTACTTTCAGAATAAGTACTTAACTCCCAGGCCAATATATGTAAACAGATGATATAAAGTAAGGTTACTTTATATTATTTTCTAGCCCAAATTATTCAGCAAATGCCATTAAAATTCATGAGCAGTTATAGGTCAGCAAATAATCGGCAGTGAAACAACAAACAAAAGATGCTAATAATAAATGTAGCTAACTTCAATTAGAAGCCAGAATCCTGATTTTAAATTGCTTCTTATTGAAAGCTATCTTGTTGGACATGAGAGGTTTAAAACCATGAAAGCTGTGACTAATCCAAAGCCTACAAAACATTAGCAGGAATGCTAAGATTCACACTTTTAGATAAGACTCTTGGTTTTTTACTATACCTGATACCAGACTATATAGCCTCCAAGGAAGGTAGATTTTCTCTTGGTTCTCTGCTACAGAAAGCTTAGACACTTGACAGAACTTACATTTCCCCTAACGCTGTCCCGATTTTCTCCAAGGTCTCTTTCAATTCTGCAGGTTCTGCAGGCAGCAACATAGGATCTCATCCAGTCCTCTTCTGCTGAAGAAACACCTTTTCATCTTGTCATCTGCCTATGATTCCGTTTCAAATACTCAACCTCAAGAGCAGGAATGCCTCTTGATCCTAAGAAAATCTGGGGCACTGGGGGCTCTATGAAGAACATAAACTGGTAGCACAAGGACTTTAAAAGTTTGAGATACTAAAATAACAGGACTGGAAGAGTAGTGCTGGGGCAGCAGTGAGGAGATGAACAAAGGGAGAAATGACCAAAAGAGATGGAAACTCACTCTTAGTTTCATTCCCAACCACTGGTGAAGACTGTGAATGTCCCATGCAGTCCAGAAGAAAAGCTTTTTCTATGGAGCCAAAACCCCTAGGCAGGTGTGTCCTAGGTGAGCCTCTTGGAAATGTGCTACTGGTCCATGATGGCCTGTGGAGGAAAAGTGTACCAGCAGGTGAGGTGACAACTGCTCCCCCAGCAACTGCTCCCCAGTAACTGCTCAGAGCACAGGTAGGTTCTGAGCTCTCCCAGCACCACAGCAGTGACATGGGCATAGGGAGGTCTGGCATTAGGCAGAGGATGTGTCTGCACCTAGTGCATTGTTTAGTCCAAGAGAAGTAATCTGATTTAGGCTGCCTGTCTGTCAAAACAACAGCTCTCTCTGAGGCCCCAAAGCTTTCTGGAGAACCTATAGCTGGCAGTGTTGTCCCACATGGCATCCTTAGGCATGTACTCATCTCCTAATAAACCTGAGAAAGATTAAATAGCTGACCACATAGCCTGCAGGGTATGGAGACTGGATTCTGACTTCATATTTGCCTGCATATCAAAAGCCAATGAAAACCATATCTTCCCTTTCTGTACCCTTTCCACCCCTCCTTCCTTTATCCCTTTTGCCATGAAGCTGAGTTATTTGGAGACAAACTCATTCTGAGGCAGACTTTTACATAATGCTTGTATTAAAAGCTATTTAATTACCACTTAAAGCCAATTTATAGGATAGTTGCAGATGATTCTTGGAAATAACTTCTTTTCAAGGCTGCTGGATTCTCATTGTTAGTGCAATATAATTTTTAAATATTTTAAATAAAAAAATCAATTGTCCCATTTCTTTCACGCAATTGTTCCTAGTTTAAAGGGAATAATTTCAGCTGTTTTTCATCAAAAGCTTTACTATTTTCTCCACCCTTAAGAAAATCTGTCAAGAACAGGCGATTTCCATAGAACCTAGTCCAGCTCTTGTCCTCCAAATAAGTCCTACTGATTGCTGTTGAACACTTTAAGATTACTTCACTAATATCTCTATTTTGTTTGTATAATCTCCCATCTCTATAAAAGACTTACGTCAAAATAAACAGCACAGACAATTGCCCGCTTGGCTTCCTGGTTATGTTCTGTATAGACCAGTTACACTGCTCTGGGAAAAGCAGGTGGGTGTTCACTGTTAGAAGGGAAAATAAAATGTAAGCATTTAGACATTTTTCAAGTACCTGTAGCTGTGGGGGCTGCTAGACAAATTTAGTTCAGCATTTCCATGCCAGATTGATTGTATCAAAGGCACAGAGTTATTGTGGCCAAAACTGGGCTGGTTTCCCACATTTGGCACATTGTTCATTTATTGGCTACAGATTCCCCTCCACTTCAGTACAGATGAATCCACGGAAAAGCATGTCATCAAAAGTCACAGTTATCTGGGTGAATTTTCTAATCGAGGTTAATTAGGTTTTCTTCCAAACACACGGCACAGTCAGCAAGGCAATACGGCGCTTTTGCGGTGCTCCACGGTTGTGTAACATCTGGAGGAGCCTCCATGGCTTAGTCCCTCCGCTTCCCCTGTTTTTACCATTGCTACAGCAGCACCTCTGAAATTGAAGCCAATGCCCAACATTTCAAAGGGACAGCGGCGGTGACTAGTGAAACACGGGATGGGTTTTTTGTGGTGAAGCCAAACCTGCGATGGCTCCTCAGCCCTCTTTACGCAGTGCTGGCCAAGTTGCTCATTCTCATCAGTCTGCGCCGTTTCCCTCGGGGTAGGGAAGCCCTGCCCGAGGGCGCTGAGGGCGCGGGGCCGGGGCAAGGAGAAGGGGCGGATCCCCGTGGGCCTCGGTTGAAAAACACCTTTCGGGTTACGGATGCGTGAGGGCAGCGAGGGTCCAGGCCGCGGGGCAGGTGTTGGGGCCCGCCCAGGGCGAAGCTGGGCGGGGATGAGGCGGAGCCGAGGCCC